TCGCTGAATTCTGCCATTGTCTAATATTTCTTTTTCCATTGTCATTATTAAGTCTCCCACGTACTTCTGTTTGTCGACCGTTATGCAACTTTCCGCTTGTTTACGTTGTTTGCATTGATTCGCGGTATGTTTGAAATTTGCGTTACGATAACATGGTATCTAATATAGACCGCTTAATTATCGTTGAACCCTCGTATATAACTCACAAATAGCATTAGAATTAACGCTCAAAGTAAAATGGTTCGACTGACAGAAAAGAGCCAGGAAAAGCCCTAATTCTTCAGATAATAACAATTCTGTTATTACCTATACCTTATGCTCTACAATTCCTTTCGAATTAGATAATGCTGGGAGTGGACTTACACCACACCTGCTGCTGGATGATTCACTCTTTAATTTAATAATGAGTTCTACCTCAAGATAAAAAAGTATCGACAATATTGAGAATGAATAAGACACTACCTATAAACCATTAAGCGATATGCATTCTGAAATGGAGTCACTTGCGAGCTCCTTATCAAAGAATAATAATCATACTCAAGAATTAAAGACATTACCACCCCTTAAACTGCTATTGTCAAGGGATGTAGTTCCTGCGGCACTTGAAGATATTATCAAATAGAATCTGCTTTCGATTTTATCGCTAGTGAAGTTACTAAGCGAATAATCTCTCGCAATAACGTGATTATCTATAATATACTTGACGAAATCGACATTAAATATATAAGGAATTCGATATTAAAAGCAGTCAACCTTCAAGATAGTCCATGCCAATGTATTTGACTTTATATAAAGCACCAGAAATACTCGTACTCGGTGTTGTTTAGATTCGATTCTCATTTATTAGCTGAACAGTTCAAAGAATCCGAACAGCTGATATACGCGCCTACGAAGTTTATAAACTCTCGTAAAGTTTCAGATAAGACCACCAACCAAAGACTTACGCGAAAGCGTACCTTAAACGAAAATAACGATGTTGAGGTCATTATAAATCCCGTTGCCTCATCAGCTGAACCCAGTGATTCAGCCAACCTATTTCACGTTAGCCAGTATTCTGATTTACCGATGAACAGTGCTAATTTATCTCTTCTGTCTGTATTGACCTCTGGTAACCAATGTATAATTAATAGAGAGACTGATCCGATATTTTCTAGTGTAACGTTAGAAGCCCATAACCAAATACATAGTCCTAATGTGAAGGCTCTTAAAAACACTACTAAAATTAAAAGGTCAATATCATATAAGAAGAAGGGATATACAGAACCTTCTGGTTCCATATCTAGCGGCAAAAATAATACGATGGCCATACCAAACAAAAACTCCGCCTAGAGAACCTCGAGTCTACTGCTGGTCCCAGGCCCTGACAAAGAGGGAGGGTTGGGCATGGGGTAAGCTACCCCAGTTCATGGAAAACTAGCTCACCACAAAAGCGCTGGCCAGAATAAAAACGCTACTCTACCAAACAAAAATATACTTCTCGACACCAAGCTTTGCCCTACTCATCGTAGGGAAGCCTATAATGTCACAATTCGTTCAAGCGTCACACAAGACGGCCAATATAACCATTGTGTTAGCAGTGAACCAGCGTGCCCTGTGGTTACCCTCAAACGCTTTACATATTAAGCCTGTAAAACGTAATCTTCCTCATCACTTTCCTAATAGGCAACTGTTCACCAAGTCATGTTCAATAAATTAATCCACCTTATCAAAACAGTGAATTTTTCGGCCTTCAGAAATCCCAAGTCCCACTAGCAATACAGTTTCTTCAGGCCGTAGCCCATACGATCAATCGAACATATTAAACCGTAGTCCAGGTAAATCTAATACAAAACATCAGTGGGGAAGCTCTCGGTTTTTAACACTTCCCACTCCTTTCTTAAACTTATGGCTTATCAATGCAAGTTCACTTCTGAACAAAATTTCAGACTTGAGAACCATAGCTCTTCTAACCAAGCCTTCTTTCATAATTATCATTGAAACATAGTGCTCTCAAGCAGTACTTGATTCAGAATTAAATATCCAGAACTATCGACTCTATCGCTGTGACAGAGAAACTAAGTAAGGAGGTAGTTGTGTTATATACGTTTTGGATACCCTAACAATTAGTAAAGTTGAAGACAGTGCCCTGAATAGTTTACTAGAATCGGTTTGAATATCAATAAACTGCCTGAATTATAGTCTACAGAGCTCCTGAAGCTTTGAATTCTGGTAATGATCTTATTATCAATTCATTTTTCGTGCCTCTAGATAACCCTCGTGCTACTGATAGAAGAAACCAGGCAAGTAGTGAATAGGGCTTTATTTATACCTGAGCGCAGTCACAGTGGAGCGTGGGATGATTTGTTCCGACAAACAAAGCCTCTCAACATTTAGTAAAAGATTATGGGAAATATAACGCCTATACAAACTAAGTGAATGAATACTTGAACAATACTGTTTTGATATATGCTCAGTTGTTTGAGGTGAACTCTTAACCAACCGACCTAGGCTGTTACACATTCATACATGCATCTGATCTAAACTTCAATGCTGAGGTTATCACTGGAGTTTTCAATTATCATTGGATTAACTGGAGTACGGTAGTCGTCAGCAAACATTAACATGCCCCGCTGCTAATAGTGGGTTCGCACCCCAACTAGGGGTGATATGTGATTGATGTGATGTGATGTGATGTGATGATATTTTGGTTTTCGATGTGCTGATTGATTGTAAGATGGTGTAGATTTTAGTAAATGTTTGTTATATTTGTATTTGGTTATTTGTAGTAGTTGAGTGTTGTTGTAATTATCTTATAGTTTGTGAAGTTGTTTGTTTGTGTTGATGTTTGTTCGATTGTGTGAGTGTGAGTGTGAGTATGAGTGTGTGTGTGTTGTGTATGTGTAATTGTCGCCTGTAGATCTACTAGTTGCGCCCTATGATGATAGGGTGTTGATCGTGGCTGATATTGATGTTGTTGAGCAACGGTGTCATTCGTTGTGGAATGCCGCCTACGAGAGACAATGACATTGGTGTTTGTTGGTGGTTGAGTGATTGGTGGTATAGTTGTAGTATTAGTGGTTGTATTTGTGTGTTGTGATTTAGTCAATGATAATGTGATAATTGAGTGAATTGATGTAATGTGATTGATATGTGATGTGATGTGATTTGATGTGATGTGATGTATGATATTTGGTTTTCGATGTGTTGATTGATTGTAAGATGGTGTAGTAGTTTTAGTAAATGTTTGTTATATTTGTATTTGGTTATTTGTAGTAGTTGAGTGTTGTTGTAATTAGATTTATTGTTTGTGAAATTCCGTGTTTGTGCGTGTTGCATTGTATTTTTTGTAGTTCTGTTTGGATTTCGTTTTCGATATATGGATGCCCGTTTGTTTGCATCATTTACTGGTATTTCTTCTTTTTCTAATAATGTTTCTGGTTACTTTATATGCTTCATATGAATGTCTCAATTAGGTGATTACCATATTCGTTTTATATTCTGATATGCGATTCATTTGTGAGTGTAAGTTTATTTTTTATGCCTTCTTTATATTAATATAGTATAAATAATCTGCCGCTTCTCAAATTCATCGGTATGCCTAATTAGCTGGAGAGTAATGGGCGCTTTCTATACTTTAGTTTTAATCGTTTTCATCGGATCAGACCGTTGTGCATGTTGACCTTTAGGATATCTTCACATTCATCAGATAAAAGGAATTGTAAATATGAGTGTGATATGTCCAATTTCGCAATGTACCTGCCCCCGTTCAGCTTGGTGATGAGATGTTCGTTCAAATCTGAAGGATACTTGTTAGACTCGAGAGCTTCATTTAGTCCGATAGGGTAATCTGTACATAGGCGAACAGTTACATTTATCTTCTTGACGACCACTACTAGTGCGGCCTAGTATGAGTTTTTAAGTTCAATAACATCCATTTTCTTAAGCCGTTCTTATTCCTGTCCAACTATTTGAAGGGCAGCATAGGGATACAGGCCTTTTCGGTCGAAAGACGGGATTAGCTCCAGGTTTGAGTGTTAACAATACTTTGGCCTTAGTACATTCTCTTAATCCTTCTTTAAACAAGTGGTGTCTTTTTATCACGGCATTTTTCTGGTCCCACTCTTAGGGGTTATCAGTTTTGATCTGTCTGGAGATGGCGTTGATAGAATTGTCTACTAGTTTAAATGTCTCTATAAGATCTAACCTCAATAAGTTGAGTGTTGGATATACTGTTGTATTCGTTGTCACAGGACCTTTAGAACAATGTAGGGAACTTCTCGAACAATATTTAACTTCCCATCAGATGCACTGTGTTCTAGTTGTGTTGTTAGATGAACTGTAGGTCTCCCAATTTTCTTCCGAGTTTCTGGGCTGATTAGGGTAATATCAGATGCTGTATCAAGTTGAAGGCGAGTACGGTGTTTATTAATATCCAGAGCTAAACACTTTCTTTGACGGTAAATTCGTGGTCGGTTATGCGATAACAATATTTTGTTAGTTAACGTACCAGATCTGTATTTCTTGAAATAGGATTTCATATTAATCTATGATTTATGTTTAGGGTAAAATTTAGAACAAATCTACTATTCAATCTGCTGTTATGATTGTCGACTCGATTTGTATGCGTTCGATGAATATTATGACTTAATGTATTGGTTATTGCCGATTAATCGTTTTTCATATCCTGACTATAATTTATCAGTCCTATTAATAGTGTAGCTGAACTAATCGATAATCGACCTAGACAGAAGTCATCCATTTGTCTTCTTGTCATTTACATCCTGACTGCTTGGGACCTAGTTCAATTGAAGAATATCCATATTTTGTTCATGTTCTAACATAACAGATGATAAGCTACGTTCAATGATACTGTTATAAATCTACATTATTCCAATTGTTTAAAATGAGTTACTTTCAGTGAGTTTCTTCAATGAATATGCTCCACTTGAGCTACAAATCTTCTTCACCATCTGGACGATTTCCAGATGGATTATTTCTTATTAAAAAAAAAGGTAGATCATTTTTGTTATCTTCAATTTTATTTATGAATGAAACAATTTAGAAAAAGAAAAAGAAGAAAACAATGATGGAAATGATCACCATAAAAAATAAATAGTGAACAATACTAAAAAGTATTTGTACAGTAGTAGTAGTAGTAGTAGTAATAGTAGTGGTAGTAACGAAAAATATACGTGTGTGTGTGTTTTATATCCATTCTCCAATGTACAAATGATTCCTTTAAAATTCTAAGATGAAAACAATATGACATTCAGATCATAAGAAACCGTTCAATAGATCATAATCATGTGACTGGATAGAAGGGGGGGGCGAGAATAAACAACTAGCACAATCACGACTTGGAATAATAAAAATGGAAATTGTTTCTATGATAATTATACTACTTGATATTCTTATTAGTAGACAATAATCATATATAAAAACGGATTATTTTTTTTAAGGATAGAAAGACTTAGCTCTATACATGAGAGAATAAAAAGTGCACACCTCATATACAACGGGGATAATTAATATCTAACAATTTTGTTGTTGCCTTCGCTTCCTATAAATTGTAGATTGTTGAAATATTTTGCTTTGATGTTGCCATTTCAGATAATTCCACTGATGATTTATTAGTGTCATGAATTGAACACTGCTGTTCCACCATTATAGGAGTATCGGGATGATTGACGTCATTATGTGATTTAGTTTCAGTAGTTGACTCTGACGTTTGTGCATATAAAACTATTAAAAAATCAATAAACATGTAATCAAGTTAAAGTACTATTGTGATTGGGTAATTGGGAATATGAACGACATACAATAAATATATATATTTAATGATCATAATTTAAACAATCTTCATTAAAATCCTAGAAAAAGACTGCCCAGAAATGTCATGGTACGGTCGAGAGTGGGAAGAATCAGCTCTCCCTCTCGAAATGCTTTCACATGGCCACGCGCATACAACCACTGCCAAGGAAGACCTAATCACTGCCTTCCCGTAGTATTACTGTTGTTTACGTAATTGAAAGAATGAAAAGCGAATGTTCGGTGCTTTAACCGAGTCGGTGGACACGGAGGGTAAACACAGGAGAGTTGGGAAACCCTCATTCCAAATAAAGGGTCCACATGGGTTCCAGGATCCTGAAGGAACAAATCGCGTATGAACCAATCGTTGGTGACCCGCCAGCATGGGACTGCATCTCCTGACGTTGTTCCACTGCTTTGTGTGTTAAACTGTTAGGTCAAAGGTTCCGGGTGTGGCTCCCTAAGAAAACCACTTGTTTTAGTCTAGGCATCCGGGCAGTATCTCAGCCCTCACATTAATCATATGATTTATGTGGCGCATATCTATTTGTTGCCTCCTTGTACCAATGTTTATGCGTTTAAATAAATAAAAACATATTAACGTTTTCCTCGAATTACTTTTCAAGGCAAAACACCACTTCTTTGATATCACGTGCCGATGCAACTCAGACAATCATCGAAAAGCAAGAAACACTGGAGAGCAATTTTGTTTAAATATAGAACTACTCAGTAGTGAGTATTCACGACATCCTACCGGGAATCAAACCAATGACCTTCAGGTTTTGCCTTCCGATCACTAAACCGGCATCCAACATCGTGTAACAACAATAGTCTTTTATACTGAAGAAAATAGGTGACAACATAGAAATATGTTATTATAAACACAGATATATTTTATTCTCTAGTACCCTGGGATTAGAGTCCTTTCGAACTATGTATATTTTCACTAAAAGTACTTACCTTCATTAACTGCATTTACATTATCGTTATTCATTGACGATTCATGAGTGAGTTCATCATCAAGTCCAGTTATAACTGGTGGATCATTTGAATCAGTATTAACATTAGTCATATTTGTTTCTGGTGAATTATTTGGAAATAATTGTTCTAATAATTCAGGAAGAAAACTCGATAAATGTTTTTCAGTTAATTCCCATAGAATAGCTGAATTTGAATTTGGATTAGAATCTTTAATTAGAATTGGATTGAGATCATGTGTTCCAGTGCACATAACTAATAACACATTCTTTAATGATTCACGTACAGCATCGGTCTTTAATTAGAACAATAATGTTAACAATTTAAAGATTTTTCAAGTTAAATGATAGTAATCTATAAATCTAATGTTTAACAATGTGGATCGGATGTGCTCATCAGATCTAAACTAGCTTGAAATCACAGATAATCAATTATAAATTATTATCAGATGGGTTTTTGTGGAGATTGTAGTAATTTCAATGGTTAAGATCATGAGTCAGTTGAAGCTAGACCACCATGGAAAACCTGGAAGCACTGGACGGCCGTTTCGCCCTACCGTGGGACTCCTCAGCAATGCGCACCCACGACCTCGCCCCCTGCGAGATTCGAACCCAGGACCTACTGGTTTCGCGCCCGAGCACTTAACCACTAGACCACTGAGCCAGCATCCAACGGTGTTAATGTCTAACTTGGATGCACACTGCTGAGGAGTCCCACAATAGGACGAAACGGCCGTCCAGTGCTTCCAGGTTTTCCATGGTGGTCTAGCTTCAACTGACTCATGATCTTAACCATTGAAATTATAAATTAGCCTAGCTTGAAAGCATTCATCTTAATCTACATGGAATAGTGAATAAACTATATCTTATTGGTTTGAATGTTATGGACTTAGTCTTACAGAAGAATATGAATGTGATGTATGTGATAACAAGTTCAATCATTTGAAACCGAATAGGCAACTTATAACTTTTGTCTTGGAGCGTAAATAAAGTAATACTGAATTCCAATGGATCTATTAGTAAATGTCAAGTTGATTGATATAATGGACAGGTTACTAATCTTAGTGTAACACAACAATGATTTATTGAGTCACCTAGGTGAAATCAACACAAACCTTGGCACTGAGTGATTAAACATAAGCTTAATTAACAGAACTTCAACCTCAACGTTATTCATTCAAAGTGATAAGTGTTATATCCCGATGAGAATAGTGAATGGTAAATTTTGGCATACACTTATGCACCAATACTATATGTATAATTGTTAGAGAACTAAACTATTCATATTCATATCCCTTCTATTATGAGCTTTATTTTGACATTTGAACTACTATTATATGATTTACCGTTTTTGAATTATGCCCTGTCTATTAATCACTACCTCCCTTATTCACAGCCACATTTGCCTAAATCATGTACAAATGTTGTTTCTTATTTTATGGTACGATGTGGTCTATTTGGTTGGTATATAAACCCAGTATGTTTGATATAAATGATTCATATCGCAGAGGTTCAGATTGGTGTTCTGAACTTAAATGACTGGGCTAGGCAGGACGCAGGACCGATAAATACTCTAGACTGCTCGTACGTGTTTTATGCATCATTGGTTCGATCGATAATTCACTGTACTCTAATTGGTGGTACCATTACGTTATAAATTAAAAGGGCACATAGGCCACAAGTTATAACAGTAAGTGAATTTGAGAGATAATTGTCATAATACAGTAAGGTTTTACTTTATATGGCGATATGTGAATCAAGTATCGTAAGAAAAAACAAACAAACAAATTAGATATGTTATTTGCATTATTTGAATAATTTTTTTTGGGAGAATGCTGGTCAGCGGCCTATGCTCCATTGGGAGTAACAGGCGTAAGTAAGTAAGTAAGTAAGTAAGTAAGTAAGTAATTTGCATTATTAGTGAGACAGAAATGAAAAACGAGTACTTAAGTCATATGATTATCGGTTAGTTAGTAACATGCTACCCAATTGATAATGTGACAGAACTGTAAACTAAGGCATTCAATATCCTATTATAGTCAATTGAAGCTAGACCACCATGGAAAACCTGGGAGCACTGGACGGTCGTTTCGTCCTAATATGGGACTCCCCATCAGTGCGCACCCACGATCCCACCCCCCCCGCAAGATTCGAACCCAGGAACTATCAGTCTCGTGCCAGGCGCTTAACCAACTAGACCACTGAGCTGGCCGGCATCCAACGGTGTTAATGTCTAACTTCAACCGATCCTATTTATAGAGTTGAACTTATCTACACTATTTAATCATATTTCATAAAATGAATTACGGTATCGTATATTACACAAAGAAATATCAATTGAATGATCCATAATAAACTTTAAATCAACATGATTAGAATGATTTACCAATGAATCCGAATTACTACTAGCCAACATATATTGTTCCATATAAGCAAGTATACGTATCCATAATGTATTAAATGTATCTAATTCATATAATGGACGAAGATGTTGTAAATAAACTTTAGTTAATAATGGAATAGCTCGCATACGTGGATCAGCAAATTCAACAGCATGTAAATGATGAGCATATCCAGTGTTGTAATTATGATTATGATTAATATCATGTAAATTTCTTGAATTCGTTGTAAACACTTCTTCAAGTGTAATACTTTCTAAGAAACCGGATAATAAAGGGAATAGAACCTAAAGGAAAATATATTTTTATGAAAAAAAAAAGAAACAAATTCTTTATTTATACATGACAATTGAATGGTAGAAGAAAATGATTTCATTTCAATAACTGAATGAATAACTACTCAATAGAGAAATTCAAGTTATAACATTTTAAAGTATTGATTCTATGCAAAGATGAATGGTGGCGCATTCCATTCTATTTGAGACTCGTCAGCTGGATATGCTTACACTGGCTAGGCACTATCCATATTTCTTTAAAATGCTTGTGATTTAAAGCTATATAGAGGTAATCTGCATAGAATGTACATATGCCAACATGAGACTGATCAATTGTAGTCCTAAATAACAATGAGAAGATACAAGTAAAAATAAGATCAAGTGAATTTATTGATTTTATGGTTTAATGTGTGGAATAAGATAAAGAACATCATCAAAAGATGAACTTGCATGGTAATTAGAACACATAAAAGTGTATTTTAATCAATCAAAATAAACCACTTGGTTTCGGAAAAAAGTTGTATTCATTAACTTCCTATTAATATTGATTACTTCCAGGGTGGCGTGTTTGAATATCTGGGTTATCTACTCCTGACATCTGAATATTTCAACAAGTTATCGGTGTTTTTTTTGTTTTGTTTTAACATATCATTATGTCAATTAATTGCATAACCTATTCAGATACGTTTATGGAACGTATAGGTTACAAAAAAGCACAATCAGCGACATCGTGATGGCTGGCAATATACACTAAAAAAAAAAGAACATTATTCAGATGTCGATTCCTGGACTGTTCACATCTAACTGGCAATACAATATTGGTTAAAGCCATTAGTAATAATAATAATAATACTCTTGAAAGTAGTGACCCTATAATTTATGGACGACCTTTAAACGACTCTAGACTGACATTGAAAGTGTCCACTTAATAACTAGGACTAAATGAGATTTATAAACCTGTGTGAGGAATTCCAATTATGATTTACAGTTGAATATTAAGATTAGTAATTACATTTGGGGCTTTCATCATGAACTGACATGTGGAAACGGCGGCTAACCAATATGTGGAGGCTAATGTCCTCAATATCTGACTCCAATAAATAATATCCCGTAACTGAGTATTTTAGGTAGGCTTAATCTCCTAATAGAATAGCGAATTTACTCGAGATTATTGAGAAGCCTGAACACCAGTTATATAGTTTATTGTTAACGATTAATAAAAATCCACAAGCGTACGGTGAGCAAGCACACGATGAAACAGAGTGAGTGTGTGTGTGTGTTTAAAACCCATATATATTTTTGAGAGTTAATCGGGTGTGGATAAATTATCGATTATCTGCACATTGAAACCAATAGGAGGATAGCTTAAGAGTTAATGTACAGACATGCATTCGATCATACACACCGAAATTAACATAGTAAATTAAGAGTCTGAGTTACAATGAATAGACAAATGATACAGTGGCCAAATGGGCTTGCCACAGACATCAGCTATAATGGTAAAACTCTATTTATCCTACAGCATGAATGAAATTCGCGCTAAAATCCTTCGTCCATAAATTATAGTCTTACCTTAAACACATATATATATTAGTTAAATAAAGTTTTATTCTCTTACTTCATTAAAACAATTCTCCCATTGTTTCCCATTTAATAAATGTAAAGTTGGTGATAATAATGCTTTTTGTAAATAAGTTAATGCATCTGTTCTAACATCACGACGTATATCAGAACATAATCTAGCTGTAGATTGTAATAATGGACGCCAACAAATATTCCATAAATGATCTAAATTGATTGAATTAATATTTGTATTCAATATTTCAATATTATCTTGTTGATTATTTATTAATTCTTCATTTACAATAATAGATGAATTCAATTGACCAGGATTAATTCTTGTCCATTCTCTGTATATTGAAGTGGCACGTGTAAATAATATATTAATCAAATCTAGAATCTAGAAAAAAAAGGGAAAACATAACATATCATATACAAGACAACATATAGATTGATTTATTTTCAATGGTTGAGATCATGAATCAATTACAGCTAGATCATCATAGGAAACCTGGAAGCATGAGACGACCGTTTCATCTTATTGTGGGACTCCTTAGCAGTGAGATAGTAATTCACTGAAGACATTGGTAGATGTGTCACTCAATCTCGTGAATTAGTTGAAGTCAGACATTAATACCGTTGGATACCGGCCATCTCAGTGGTCTAGTTGGGTTAAGCGTTCGCGCGCGAGAGTGATAGATCATGAGTTGGGACCACGCGAGGTGGGATCGTGGATAGGCACTGCTGAGGAGTCCCACAACAGGACGAAACGGTCGTTCAAAGCTTCTGTAATGAATAAGGACACTAGTGGGCACAATCAAATGTATTTGAACACAAAATTACAGAATATCTCATTAAAAGCTGAGAACAATACAATAGTTAATTTGCAAAATATCAGTAAATTGTCTCAAAACTGACTGTTGCTTTTGCAAATATCAGGCCATTGTCTCAGATTTAATTGTTCCTGCATTTTCATACTGAATGCTTCCCGTTCTTTCCTCTTCGATCTTCCTGATTATCGTTATATACTACTTATGTGTATATAAGTAGCGTCAACTGACTCATGATCTCAACTATTGAAATTACTATAATATCCACAAAAAACCCTTCTGATATATTTATTTGTCAGACATTTAAGATATTATAAGAATCTGAATACAGATTCATGAAAACGAATTCTGTCATTTGCATCTTGTAGTCCATATATAGAGCACGTAATTAAATTTCATATTGGTGAGTTAGTAGGTCTTGCACATGGATGACGTGTACATCGAATTTTGCACCCGTTAAACTTTAGACAGGAAAAAAGTACTAGGAAGCTATGTTACGAAGTAAGATACTCGGTATTAACTTTAGCGACAACTGAGACACTATAAAAAAAACAGCTCTACTCAATTCCAGCAACACAACTACTCCAAAAGATCAATCTTGTTAAGATTTATTGAATAAAACCGAAAAAGATTGTATTTACAACCGATCCATGTCAGTTACATTATAACCAAGTGATTACCGATTGCAAAGTTTTTCCTTATACGTTGTACTTAGAAACATAGCATCCATTCAAGCATAAAAATACAAATAAATTGAGCACTGGGTAAGAAGTTAATAACAAATATATTTTTTGTTAGATCGCAATGAGTAGGAAAATTGTATTTCTAACGTTTCGTGACTTAATGTAAAACACTTCTTCAGACTAAATGAAAGTTACACTTGGAATATTAGACAAGTCACAAAACAAGGGTATTTGTATAATTATGTATGACACTGAGATCCAGACTCTATAATCATTTGATGCTGACATAAAACATACGCCTAGAAGTCAACGTTTGCTAGATTTCTATGAACGCTCAATACTTCCTCTAAAAACTCTTCAGAAGCCAGAAAAAAAGTGCTACAAATACTTCGACTAAACAGCACTTTTTGGAAGCTTCCAAGCGGAATCTAGATAATGATGATTCATTGATCGAAGTGGGTTATAAGTAAGCATCAAACGATCAAGTAAACCAAGTAATGTCTGTAGAGTCAATCAACTTTAAGAGAGTTTTGGGATCTCATTGTCATGTGTAGTTATCAAAATACCCTTGTTTTTGTGTGTATTTCTATTACTTGAAGTATAACTTCCTATGCTTCTGAATTTCTTTTCTATTCAGGATTTAGGAATGGAAATTTGTAGGGTCCAGGAAATGTCTTAGAAGTACTGAAAATAACTCTCAGTAAACGTTAGTTATTAAATTATGATTACTGATTAAGTAAGAAAATCTGGTATACTCATTGTATTTCTGATAGAGCATTTGATTAATGACTGAATCAACTGTGAACTTATGGTTGATGCCTCGCAAAACTTTATCTACAATCCAACATTTGTCTTCTTTGCACTGAAAGATATAAGTCATTGTTCAAATGTAGCAAGTAGCATATATGTATATACGAAGTAATATAAAATACTAACTAATTAAGTTGAAATACATTGGAATTTACCTGTACAGCAATGACACTAGTAATAGGACTAAGTACAGTTTCACTAAATACCACTCCTTTTTCAGATGTCTTCAATTTTCCATGCTCAAGATGTTGTTCAGTATCCGAATCTGAATCAGATAAAGCATAATTGGGACGATTCGTTGGAAACTTTGGATGATCAGAACGACGATGGTGTCCTGATTCCGTTTTAATATTATTATTATATGAAGATAAAACTCGATTATTTGCGTTTCTTGGAGGTAAATTAATGCAGGCTTCAACAAAAACACGTAATGCTTCAACAGCACACTAGGAGTAAACAAAATAAATATTGAAAAAACCTAATTAGAAATATATATATGCACGATCATTCTACTCAAGTATTGAAGCTCCTTATTCGACTTTAGCCTTCTAGTGTTGCATAGTTTGTTGGGCTAAACATGGGAATGTGATTGTAACTAAATCGAACTGACAGACCATAACAATTCGAGAAATCACATTTCATGAAAGAAATGATATATTATAACCATGGATAAAACGTGTCCCTAGACCTCGAGAGATGTTGTCGAGGGATATTTGTGAATTATGCATATTTATTAACTGAGTTTTTCAATTCGATTGTAAGTTCTACTTAATAGATTGGACCAATGACAAATCTAGCAAACGATAAGTGCCTATGATTTGCCAAGAAAAGGCTTTAGTTTTCAAGAGATAAGACACCAATGGTGGTTTAATTTTCTAACGGATGAACACACATACGTGTCGATTCGGTGAGTCGATCAACTTCCTTTCTCACGCTCGGTCTTTCCACTCGAGTAGTCGATTGGGATCGTGTATAGAAAGATTGTGTATTAGTATCAAGTCTCGGACACCGGGAGAAATTAGTGTGCGAACTAAATATCAGACTACTTACATGGCAACTCAAGTTAAAACATTCAACAGATAAGCATGAGGTTATGAGAGACTGCATAAACAATTGAAAACAATAGGAATGAAAATTATCACAAACCTCAAAGTTATCTGGTGTTATGTGGGCTGGATCACGAATTAAAAATGCTAAACAGTCAACAGCTTGTTCTAAAGTTACTGGATCACGTGAACCAATCACCACTTCGTAACTTAAAACCAAAGGAGATATAAGAAGAGATGATTTCTCCCATGTTGTTTGTGCCATTTTAGTAGGAAGCTTATGGATTACTTCATATGACTCTGAAACATCTGTTGTGTCATTTTCGATCACCTCTGATGATGAGTTTTTCTGGATTTGTTCACCATCATTTCCGGATACAGACATCTTCGAACTGGATAAGTGTAAAGATGATTTACTTGCCACTGCTGAAACCTCATGAACAGTATGATGTGTTTCACTGTCGCTTGTATAACCACGACTAGATTTACACGGATTCGAAGGATGGTTTACACTCATTTTTCGAGGAATATCTGAACTAGAATCTAAATAGATATATAAAAAACAACTTCGTTGTTAAGTGAATATGTAGCATTTACGTATAACGTGTAACATGTTGCAAATTTGAATGAAGCAGATTGTATTAGGACTGTAATTGATCAGTCATTTATTGATAAATGTCCATCCTATGCGGATTATTTCAAGACACAAACATTATAAACAGAGATGATGGTGGATAGCAGTGGAATCCAAGATGCATGTTTCGTCCTATTTGAGACTTGTCAGTACAAGCTAATGGCATCCTGGACTCAGTAGATAAGTGAGTAACGTAATAGTATTCGAGGGGACCGGCACTGGGTTCGAGTTCCGGAGTGCACATCAACTCTGGGACGCACTCAGCCAACGAATCCCAAATTGGACGAAACACGCGTCCTTGATTCTACTGTTAGCCACCATCATCTCTACCTATAACTTGTAGTATATTTAAGTAACTGAAAAATTCTAAAATCCTCGACTAAAACTTAAACTTTTTCCGAATATCTATGAAGTGTATACGACATATCGATTAACTATTCAACTTGCAACTGTAATAAGAGTTAACTCTAAAAGTGAATTAGCAAATTATGAATTTCTCGCAATAAAAAACCGATTGAACAGATATTTATTTATTTGAACACATAAATATTGGTAGAAGGGGGCACCAAATATATATGCGCCGCACAAAACAATGAGAATGGGGAGAAAAAAAAAGATAAGGAGCGTAAAGAAAAAAAGGAAGAAGAGGAACAAAAACGACCACATTAGTGTAAGGAAGTGTAATGATAATAATAATGGGGGAAACGGAAAGGTATAATCAGAAGAAATCCTTCAGTTAAGGAAGATACAACCACTTTTTATGAGGAAAGTAAAAGAATGTTACAGCAGGATCGCCATTGGCTTCTATTCTGAGCCGTATCTGATAACATCTCTAACCACTGTGCTGCATCAGCTATCCGACCCCAACCAGGGAATCGTGAAGGACTTTTGCAGCTTTCTTTCATACCACGGCACCATGTCATACACTGACCACATTGAACAGATAAGAGTTTGACAAGAAGTGTTAAATGGACAAAACAATTAGTTCTTGAAAATTTTAATCACAAAGGAATTAGTCAGTTAACAATGATGACCATACTACTAACTTCCTTCCAATTTAATATACGAATGAAAAACAGCATACATTCAAAAAGTGGGATAAGTATAACGAAAAAAAAACTTTATAGGCTAAAATGAATGTAGATAATATGCCAGGAAAAAAAACAGGCTAATGATCAATTACAGTTCTAACCATCAATGAAAAAATTCAAACAATCAATATATATAAAAGAAATCTTTGTGTTAAATACAAAGGAATAGTAAATTATTACCTTGATTCTTTGTTGACTTTTATTTGGACACATAAATATTGATACAAAATGGCATCGAATACATATGCATTACACAAGTCACTTGATTTGTGCGTGGGTTGGGATACTGCCTGGGTGCCCAAACTAAAGCAGGTAGGTTTTTTCTTAGAGCGGGGGTCACATCCGGAGCCTTCGACCTAAAGGTCTAATCCACAAAGCAATGGTGCAACGTCAAGAGATGAAGTATCATGGTAGCCGGTTACCAACAATAAGTTCATGTTCCATTTGTTCCCTCAAGATCCTGGAGTTCATGTGTACCATTGGTTTGGAATCAGAGTTTTCCAATTGCTTAACGATATAATTTAACTAAACCAGCATTGTGTAATGAATAAATATTCATAAAATCATGTCAAATAAGTTTGCTAGTAGTATGTTTTATTCACTGAAGTGATTGAAGTATATACACATAAAAAGTGAAGTAAACTAAACAACTTATCGATAATATGATTATCATTATCAGCCACATGGATAAATCAGAAGAAAAACAGTAGCAGCTCAAAATTAACTTACATGAGAACTTCTCTTCACTATTACATTTCGCTACTGTTGTACTCGTTAAAAGCATATTAGCTCTTCGACCAGCTCCACATATCTCTAATAAACCAAAAATAAGTTTCCAATCAGTAGTTGGATCTGGTAGATCAGCAGCATGATTTCTTAATAAATCAGTTAAACCATTAATCACTTGTCGAGCAACACGTGAACCATGTTTAAACAATAACAATAAAGATGAATTATTACTACCACCACTATTGTTAACAAAGAATGTAGAAGATTTTTTATGTGTATGACGTGAATTCGATAATTTAGGCGAAGAAATACTTGTTTGTGGTGATAATGTTGATAATGATGATGATGATGATAGATTAACAGAATACATAAGATATTCACCATGATTTAGTAATAACCAATAAAGTGTTGCAAAAATCTGGAAATATTTTTTTTTAAAGATAATGAAAGAAAAATGAGCTATTTATTAAAACCAATTAATTGATGATTGAAATAATGATAAAGAAAATAAAACAAACAATAAACTAAGAACTTGAACGGCGAGACTCTAATTTAGGGACGAACCTTGAACGAATCTTAAATGACCTTGACAATTACTAGCCAATCAGGAGACAGTATAAAGTGAAAATATATTACAAGAAAGTAATGAATTACAGTGGATATTCTTCTTTTACATGATTTAAAAACTTGTTAAGGTTTGATAAAGGTTCAGAGGTTCTGAATTCATAATGCATACGATATAGAAACTCGTCCATAGGGTTAGGTTTAGGGTTAGGGCTATGGTTTAGGTCAGGGTGCTGAGAAGCGATAGGTTTATAACGGATTTTAGAGGTTAGAGTTAGGGTAGGAGTTACGGTTAGGGTCAGGGTTTAGGTTAGGGTTAGGGCTTTAGCCTCTCAATAAACACCTCTTCTATAAAATCCGATGTAAACCGATCGCATGTTGGCACCCTAACCCCTAATCCTATGGACGAGTTTCTATACCGTATGCATTATGAATTCAGAACTTCTGAACCTTTATCAAACATTAACAAGTTTTTTAATCATGTAAAAGAAGAATATCCACTGTAATTCATTACTTTCTTGTAATATATTTTTACTTTATATTGTCTTCTGATTGGCTAATAATTGAAATTGCTCAGACGCTTCTCATTGGCTCGTCCCTAAATTAGAGTCTCGCCGTCCCATCTGTTGTAGCCTCTCATTAACCACCTCCTCTCTAAAATCTGCTGTGAACCGATCGTTAGCATCGCGTGTTCAACTTGGCTCCGTGACCTTGAAATCGTTCAAACGCTTCTGATTGGCTCGTCCCTAAATTAGAGTCTCACCACTTAAACTCTTATCTTACTATTTCTGAAAAATCAGTTATTCAATAATAATACTTTTATAATGCATTGAAATCGGCCGACAAAAGGTTGAAAATAAAACAATCACTTTAAAATTTTAAGAATTATACTGTCATTGTCACCCGGACTGTGTATGAAGAGTTCTTATTTCGGTAGCCTGTAACACTTCCAGAGTTACTGCCGATCCCAAGCCCGGGTAAACGAAGAGGATTGGGTATGGGGTTAGCGATCTCATTCCGTAGAAAAAACAACTCGCTAAAAAAACGCTAACCAAAAAAAAATAATATGGGAACATAATATGACTACTGTCAGAATGGGAATTTGTGGAGACTGTAGGAATTTTAATAGTTGAATTTATGAATCGATCTAAACTAGACCACCATCGAAAACCTGGAAGCACTGGATGACCGTTTTGTCTTAATATGGGACTCCTCAACAGTGCATATCCACGATCCAGCACATAGGAATCGAAACAAGGACTATCGGCGTTGTACAGGAACGCTTACTCTAGTGACTACTGAGACAGCATCTAACGGTGTTAATGTCTAACATCATGGGTTGATTGAAGTTATGACTGCACCAAGCTTAGTTACGCCGAATCCATAAACCAATGATATACGACAATAGGAAGATGAGAAACTCTCATTCTTGCTAGTTGACAATACCAATGAATAACGTCACACCATTCAATTGGTTGTGTCAATAATATTTACTACTTTCAAACTGTTTACAAATGATTAAACATCATCAGATATAATAGATATATAATGCTTTTATGTAAATTGCTCAATACATATATTTCATATAATTTGTAAAGAAGACCTACTGAACACTATTGTTTAAATGCATAAAAAATCATTAATAGAACAAAATGCAAAATTAAAGAAGAGCAATTAGATCATTTACATCTGTATAGCATAATTATTACCGATGGTATACTAATACTTAACTATAGATTATGCAAGGAGATTCGATATGCTTTGATGCTTTAATTATCAAATATCATTATAGTCATCTTGTATGGAAATTATATTAGTATGATACAAGAAAACTATGGAGACATATTCTACTGATTTCTAAAATGACCTATAAACATGTTATATTTATACAAATTGCAATGAAAATCACTTCTGTATTTGGAAAAAACCAACAACAACAAAAGATTACCGGTGAGCTACAATCCCATATTTAATAAGGGTTTTTTTTCTGAAGCGAATATATAAAGTACTTAAAAGCCCACTTACTACCATTGTCATTGAGTTATGAATAAAGAAAGACATGACACTGAATATGAATCAGGTCATATCGCCACAATGTATCAGTGAAGTAGGCTCAGATAAGAATTAGTCATGTGAGATATTTAAAACAATTTAGATAACACCGATAGGTGGATAGGATTTCCATCAGTGACTGAAATATCATTTACCAATAGTTCAATATATACGACTATGCTATAAACTGAACAAACATGAGTGATATATAGAGTCTGAACACCGATTATCACGACGTGCAATGCTAACCGGTGTTAGAGATGGTTGGAAGAAAGTTAGGGGTGGCCAAACAAAAACCTGGCGTCAGTCATTGAAGTCACTAACTTCTAATCTGAGTCATCTTGGTAGATGCAGACTACTCGGTTGGGATCCGCGTGATTATCATAACCAATGGTTCCAGACTCTTGGTGAAATGGTTCAGAATCGATCACAATGGCGTAGGTGTATATACTCTCCGACTTCCCTTAAACTAAGAGATTAAAATCTTTTCATATCTTTCTTTCTACCAATTAATTATTCCATCCTGTACTATATCCTTATTGCAATCTTTCTTTTATATATTACCTCCTCTGAATCAACTACTTCTATGAATTCGGTGTCCATCTTGTTGTGTTAATGAGGTATGGCAACTTGGACCGATGCATATATGTGCCTGGTCCTACGTTGTAGCTGACTGATATGTAGAGTCAAATTTTAAAAGCCATAGACCTTGAAAAAACAACTTCAAAGGCAAAACATATATTGATATAAAATAGGAAAGGGATGAAATTATCAAAACTGTTTATATCGGTACACTAACACAAAAAACTCTAAACCAAATGTGTCACAAGCTTTTTAGGCAAAGATGGATAGTGGCTAGCAGTGAAATCCAGGACGCGTGTTTCGTCCTATTTGGGACTCGTCAGTTGGATGTACCTGCATCCCAGAGTTGATGTTCAATCCGCACAGGATGCACATATACCAATATGAGACTGATCAATTGTAGTTTTAAATAACAATGGGAAGATACAAGTAAAACAACAGCAAATGTGTCATATTCAGAAAAAAAACATCGTGATTCTTATATCACATAGAATTACTTTAAAATAAAATATTGGAAAGGTCATATACAAAAAAACTAACTTGACTGGTTACTTCATGTCGACGTAATAAACAGATGGCTAGACGTAAGAAACCGACAATCACTCTTTCAACAAGGAGATTTGAAGAACGTGCAGACAACAGTAAATCAACAAGGTAATATCTGACTAGTGACCAGAAACATACCAACCGATCACGATTACGCATTAATACACGAATAAGTAGTTCTAGACAGAATACACGACAATCATCCGACGAAGTAACACCGGTGGCAGTGAATGGTGAATAATATAATGTATTACCATTACCAGTCCATTGTATTGATGCTGCTGAAGAAGGAGGCGGAAATACATGCACTGTTGAATTATGTTGACTCTGATCTTGAGATGAAACGCCTATATTCGATACTTCAGTCTCTGTCAAGGTGGTACTAGGTAAAGAACTTGAATCGATTGGTGCTAATGATGATGATGATAAACCTGAATCAATATTTAAACATGAACTTTGTACCGATCGATCTGAGGGATGAGAATTATCATGCTGTAAACTTTCCACAGAGAAAACGGAATTAGAATCAAAATTATGTGAAAGCGTAGTATAAGAATCTCCTCGTGTAGCACATAACAGAGCCTGTAAAAGTTTTTTAAAAAAAAACGAAGACAAACAAATTCTACACAAAATTCGATATTCGTTCAAAATAAAAATCAGAATTCCTATTTAGACAATAACAAACAGAGATTACTTTACTAATCAGTATTTATTTATGAACCTATGGTTGGTCACCAGCTGCTATGGGACTGCATCTCCTTACGTTGCTCCACTGCCTTGTGGATTAGACCTCAAGGTCAAAGGCTCGAGGAGTGGCCTCCTAAGGAAACTGCCTGCTTTGGTTTGAGTGCCCAGGCAGTATCCCAGCTCACACACAAATCGAATGACGAAGTGTGGAACATGTATATATGGTGTCTCATTGTAGCAATGTTTATGTGTTTAAATAGATAATAATAATAATAAAGTTACTCCCTATCAATCAAGGCATATTAAGTTTGACATAGAAAACATATGGTTAATCTAATACAGTTGATAAAAGTAAAGGTGAGACAATTGATCTGTGTTTACCAATCGAGATCATCTATCCAACGAAAAATCAATAAGTCCCAATAAACAATAAATATCGATAGATAAATATATACCTCACACCAAAAAATTAAAAAAAAAAAATCAAATTCAACATACCTTAATTAGTTCAGTTAATGAGGCGTCAACTAAGAATTTACTGTCTTCAATTAACTGATCAATACGACATTGAATAACAATGTCCGAAGCGAATCGAGAAGATGTTTGTGCATCTAACTGACTACGATTAACATATGATAATAAATGATTTTGATTAATTAATAAATTATTATTGAATAATTTGCTTTCATCAGGATTTGCCGTCTTCAATGATTGATAATCAAGTGATGAAGATATTCCAATATCTTTACTTAAAATGATCTCATCATTTTCATCTTCATTATCATTTTCATCATCTTTAAATTCATCATCTTCTTCATCACCAGAACCAATCCATGAAGATCCAGTAGTTAAATATTGATAGAATGAACTGAATACACCTAATTCACTAACAATTGATTGAAGGACAAAAAGACGAACACAACGAATTTTTAAAAAAAGAACGTTATCAGTAAACATGTAAATCAATATTTCATAGAACATTTAAAAGAACGATCGTAATTACAGATCAGCCTACCATTGAAAGTTATGTATATATATACATAGACTAAGATTAGACACATGAAATCAAGAAGCCATTGTAAGTGAAAATTTGAAGCAACTTACCGATTATTATTAGTGTTTTGTAAACAGGATGCTTTTTGACGGCGTCTGTGCGAATGACGTGAATTTTTTGATTCCTTCTTTATAGGTATACAGCCTTTTGTAGTTATATAAACTTTACGAGACGATGCTAGAAAGTCTTGTGATTCAAGTAGTTCATTGGGTAAAAGATTTGCACGAAACAATTGTAATAAACAGTCTAACAATGAATGCCACCCATAACGTAAAATATCTGCATGTCTAGATGAAATAGTAAACACTAAATAAAGCGCTAAACAAGCTTTTGTATTGCGTCCAAGCATAATTGGTAAATTTGTAGGATTCTAAAATGTGAAATAACATAACCAAAAAAGAAAATCATATTAATGTGTCGGATAGCGTAAATATGTTGACAGGTTCTTGACATAGTTCAACTTGTACTAAGCTAAACAACCTTGAAAACTACATTGGGATAAAAAGATATATACATAGACAAGTGAATAATATGTACAAACTTTTGCATAACACTATGAATGATATTGATTGTGCGAATTTCGAAACCATTTATTAAATAAAACTTCAGTACATGACAGTTGTTTCAAATCCTTGACTACAAGGTTTATAGTTGACTCCTCAGATAGAGTTGTGAGTGCGGAATCGTGGAGTCCCATTCTACGATGAAACGGCCATCCAGTGCTTCCAGATTTTTAATAGTGATCTGACATTGATCGGCTCATGATCTCAACTATTCAATGAACAAATATTCTCATGTTCTACCATATTTATATTTTATTATTTGTATGATAAAATATTCAAAGCAGAAAAATGACTTAATTTTATATTCTAATTGAACACTGATTACCACGACGCACAATGCTGACTAGTGTTGGGGACAGTTAGAAGAAAGTTAGGGGTGGCCAAACAAAAACCTGGCGTCAGTCATTGAAGTCACTAACTTCTGGTCTGAGTCATCTTGGTAGATGCAGACTACTCGGTTAGGGTCCGCGTGATTATCGTAACCAGTGGTTGCAGACTCTTGGTGACATGGTTCAGAATCGATCACAATGGCGTAGGTGTATATACTGTCTGTCTTCCTTTAAACTATGAGATTAAAATTGCTTTATATCTTTCTTTCTACCAATTAATTATTCCATCCTGTACTATGTCCTTACATGCAATCTTTCTTCTACATATTACCACCATTCAATTAACTACTTCTATGAATCCGGTGTCCATGTTGTTGTGCTAATGAAGTGTGGTAACTTGGACCGATGCATATATGTGCCTGGTCCTACATTGTAGCTGACTGAATTGAAAATAATAATAACAATAAATAATAGTCCGAAAAGTAATCGAGACATAAACACTTACATCGTTAGCAGTTAATAAAGTTGTAAATTTACACAGAGAAATAACTAAATTGTCCAGTACATCACTCATTCCATAATAAGCAGCTATTGTGGCACATCGGTTAAATCCATCAATCGCTTTAGATTGTACTTCAGGATCAGTAGTTTTATCAAAGATAAACGACAAAGCAGATACTGTAGGTCCCCAGATTAATTCGAATAGATCAGCATCAAATGCACCAGTTTGTACATGAATGAATAGGGCTTGTTTAGTGGATGAACGACGTAGAAGGCACTACGAAATAGTATTGTAGTGAACGAGAACGTTAGTGGGGTACAATCGAATTTATTTGAACACAAAATTACAGAACATCTTAGTAAAATCAGAGAACCAAACAGTAAATACATCATTTGAAAAATCTCAATCAGTTGTCTCAAACTGAACTGTTCCTTTTGCAAATATAAGTCAGTCGTCTCACACTTTATTGTTCTTGCATTTACATACCAATTGCTTTCTGTTCACGTTCTTTAGTTCTCGACATTCTAAACCTCACTACAGTCACGTACTACTCATGTAGATATAAGTAATACACAGTATATGAAGCTTACTTACTTACGCCTGTTACTCCTCGTGAAGGAGCATTGGTCGCTCACTAGCATTCTCCATCCAACCCTGTCCTGGGCAATCCTTTCCAGCTCCTTCCAGTTGTCATTCATCGTTTTCATATCTGCTTCTATTATCCGACGTAATGTGTTCTTTGGCCTTCCTCTTTTCCGCCTTCCTTCAGGGTTCCAAGTTAGGGCTTGCCTCGTGATGCAGTTTGACGATTTGCGTAGTGTATGTCCTATCCATTTCCATCATCTTTTTCTAATTTCTTCTTCAGCTGGAAGTTAGTTTGTTCTTTCCCTCAGAAGGCTATTGCTGATGGTATCCGGCCAATGGGTGTTGAGTATCTTGCGCAGACAGCTATTTATAAATACTTGCACCTTCTTAATGGTGGTTGTTGTAGCTCTCCAAGTTTCAGTTCCGTACAGTTGGACTGCCTTGACATTCGTATTGAAGATTCTCACTTTGACATTGGTTGAAAGTTGTTTTGAGTTCCATATGTTATTCAATTGTAGGAATGCGACCCTTGCTTTGCCAATCCTCGCCTTTACGTCTGCATCTGAACCTCCTTGTTCATCGATGATGCTTCCCAGGTATGTGAAGGATTCTACATCTTCCAGAGTTTCGCCATCAAGAGTGACTGGATTGCTGTTCTCCGTGTTATATTTGAGGAACTTGGTTTCCCCCTTGTGTACGATGGGGCTTCTAACGCAGAGACTGCTGCGACATTGACTGTCTTTATCTGCATTAGTTTTTGTGTATGCAATAGGAGGGATAGGTCATCTGCAAAGTCCAAATCGTCTAACTGGTTCTGAGCTGTCCATTGTATGCCGTGTTTGCCCTCAGATGTTGAGGTCTTCGTAATCCAGTCGACCACCAGGAGAAAGAGGAAGGGAGAGAGTAGACAGCCTTGTCTGACTCCGGTCCTTACTTAGAATACATCTGTCAGCTGTCCTCCATGCACGACCTTGCACTGTAGTCCATCGTATGAGTTCCGGGTAATATTGACAATCTTCTCAGGAACTCCGTAGTGTCGAAGAAGTTTCCATAACGTCCTGTCTACACTGTCAAATGCCTTTTCATAATCAATCAAGTTGATGTACAGTGATGAGTCCCACTCAATTGACTGTTCAACGATGATCCATAGTGTCGCAATTTGGTCTATGCACTACCGATCCTTAAGGAATCCAGCTTGTTGTTCTTGAAGTTGGATGTCTACTGAATCTTTCATCCGATTCAGCAAAACTCTGTCAAAGACTTTTCCTGGTACTGACAGTAGTGTAACGCCTCTGTAGTTTTCACATTTGCTCAGGTCTCCTTTCTTTGGAATCTTGATGAGGTGTCCTTCTTTCCAGTCCATCCACACTTGTTCCTCCTCCCAAATCCTTTTGAATAGAAGGTGGGGCATGCTTGTAGTTACTTCGATGTCTGACTTCAGTGCTTCAGCTAGTATATTGTCGGGTCCTGCTGATTTCCCGCTCTTGATTTGTCTGATGGCCATTCTGATTTCTTACATGATTGGTGGGTTGACATCTATAGGAAGATCTGTGTGTGCTGCTTCGATGTTCGGTGGATATATGAGGCAGTACATAAAAAGACACCTAAATAACTTAAATTACCTGATAAAAGTCTTATTTACATATATTTCTGTAGCGACTATAAGAATAGAAACTCATCTATGGCATATATCATCTTATTATTATTATTACTATTATGGATTGTGTTAGTATTAATATTTACCCGTATTGTAATGATGTAACAAAATATTTGCAATTGAAATATGATTATTAGAATTCTAATTTGCCATTATTAACAAAAGAATTGAATTGCACAGTTTTTGCAAGTCATCAACTAAGTCCATTACCCGCTAACTCCATTAGGCTTATTATTACTATTATTATTATTATTATTATTCATTTTTATTTACCTTGTTAGTTAATGATAATAATGGTAATAGTAATAGTAAAAGTAGTAATAATAATGGTAATGATAATAATAATAATAATAATGGTCCTAATTTTCTCCACTAAAATACGGTTTTATTCTTGTAGGTCCCCTGGTACCTTTACCAATACTTAATGATGAGTCCCGAGGTTCATATTCACTAAACTTTCTAACTATCATTATATTGATTTTACTAATGAAATTTCTTTCTTGAGTTAGTATTAATCGTTATTGATAGTTATATAACACATAACGGTAGTAGTAGCCTTGATATGTTCATTCTTTCGATTGTATATCCTAAAATCTTTTCCGAATAAGATTTCCGTTGTCGTTTTAAAACATTCTCAAGGTTTATTCTTTCTTTTCATCATTGCCACTAGATTGATTCAACCCCTTTAGTTATTTACATCTTGTAATGCTAATTAAGTATGGTATCACAGGTCAACGTACAATTGACGATGTCTGTCTGTCTGACTAACAGATATCAATATGTTAGATACAAGATTTACATATTATTCATTGTATGGACTATGAAAGTGTAACTCACTAGTCCTGTGTACGAGAAATATTATTTCATCATATAAAATTAGCAATATATTGGAACCAATTAACATTTATCACATTCTGAATATAATCTAATAAGATATGGATCCACCTAGAGGAGTTGGACAACCCTGACTACAAACCATTGGTATACATGGGCTCCAGGATCCTGAGGGAACAAATGGAGTATGAACCAATTATTGGTCACCGGTCATTATGGGACTGCATCTCCTGACGTTGCTCCACTGCCTTGGACCTTTAAATCAAAGGCTCGGGGAGCAGCCCCCCTAAGAAAACCATCTGCTTTGGTCACGGCACCTAAGCAGTATCCTAGCCCTAACATACATCGAATGATTTATGTTGCGCATATCTATTTGTTGCCTTATTATACCTATGTTTATGCGTTTAAATAAATAAAATGTAAAAACAATCATAAATTCTTACTTTCCACAAATAATTCTCACGAACTAAACCAGTTTGTTCAATAGGCATCACAATTTCATGATTATGAATATTATTGTAAATGAATTCCAAAAGTTTCGGATCAAAATCTTGATTTCCATTCATACCTAATAATGAAAATATAGTCGAAATAACTCTCACCCAACAAAGTCAACATTTTCAAAATGAACATTAACACAGTTCCATTGTAGCGAGCTGAAACTTCGACAACCACTACCATCACCAACAATGTAAAATTATTTATATACAACTGTCTAGGCAAGATACCCCAGATCTGTTGTTCAGAGATAATCGATGATAATCTTCTCTAACAAAGAACATACCACCTCCCATGTTGAGGGGATATTAGAAAAAGATGCAGAAGGTGGATAAGACACATTTTGTGGTCACCATAAAATTATACCACAGAGAAAGCCCTTACTTGGAATCGTCATTGCAAATGGGAAAGAGACACAACAGAAAGCACACGGTGTCGAGTGTTTTAGCGTGACATCAAAAGTATAAGTAGAATTTTCCACAAACTGGAAAGGCGACCTCAGTCAGAAATATCCGTAAACTCTTGGTTGGCGGCTAATACTTCACGAAAGATAACAGCCATAAGTGACCCAGAAATTGGAATGTAATAAGTTTCCGGACGATAGGAACTTTAAGAAGCGAACAGTGAACTGCATACTAAATTTCATTATTTCCTGAAGGCTAATGAAAAATTTTAGATGTGTAAAGTAGTTTAAATAGGTAGAAATTCTTGCACTTGACTCAATACCTGAAAGCTTAGACTTTCGAATTACTGAGACGTATCTTTAATAATGGTAAAATTTTATCCATTGAATCATAAGATAAATTTACAATAGAATTTTAAACACCAAAGCGAGGGAGCAAAAGGCTAACTGAATGTGCTTAAGCTCCACTGCCTTGTGGATCAGACCTTTAGGTCGAATGCTCCGGGTATAGCCCCCTAAGAAAACCACCTGCTTCGGTCTGTGCACCCGGTCAGTATCATAGCCTGCACACAAATCAAGTGACTTATGTGGCGCGTATGTATTCGGTGCCTCTTTGTGCCAATATTTATGTGTTCAAATAAATAAATAAATGTGATTAAGCTGGTGGACATTTCCAAGACATTTTATCATAAATAGCCTAATTAATGACGATACCGAAAAGTCGTGAAATATTCATTTACTCAATTTTCAATGATTATTTGATAAAATCATTAACTAACCACTTAAATTCTTTTTAAAATCTTCCATACGCATTGGAGCATTCTGTCGTTTAGAATTTGGATTATGCTGATCTGTATTCAACATAAGAATAGCGTAAGCTAATGTAAAAGCAGCATCAACATCAACAAATGGTGATTGATTTGATGTATACCAATGTTCTGCAAAATGTTCTATTATACGTTGAATAAGTGGTGCTTCACCAGGTAATCGAAATGCTTCCAAATAAACACGTAAAGCTTCATCAATTGGAACTCCAACAAAATTAAACTGCCTTTTGAATATAAACAAAATATGTAATAAAATACATACTAACCAGAGTTAAGGAATATAATATGGGTGTAATATGACAAGTAAGAAGCACACCTGAAAAGATGGAGTACATAGAAGAAATTTTAGTCACAAATTCTCCACGATCCAAGATTTTTGGAATTTAATCATCAACTTGTTGTCAACACACAAAACGAGTAGAAGCAAGATAAATAAATACTAAGTGAACATCTTACAGAGCAGTTGTTGATTGTTAAACGGTTAAAATGAAGGATGGTACTATTTCTACATTACAATTACAAATTGGAAAGATGAATATAAATTATAGAAGGAATAAAAAACCTTAAGTTGTTTCTTAAGATCTTTTAATTAAAAATCGGTCTCACAATGCATACCATCTTATTCTGAATGGAAGTAAACATAGTGAACTGTACTAGTTGGTGATCATACATTTGTCGGAAGTTGACATCAAATAATAAACGAATATCAATAACGAACTACTTGTATCAATCTAAGGTTTTGAATTTTAAACCATCAAGGGAGGGGGGGTTGATGAACAAGGGGAAGAACGAATTTATAACCTCAACTCCAATGGAAATCTAAAGGTAAGGAGGTGATTTTTTTTTGAAAAACAGACGGAACCGATGAATGACAGTGTCGAACAAAATAGTATGCTAATGATTTAAAGTGATTATGTTTGCTTCATTGAGATCGATTTTGAGTAGTGTCAAATAGATAAGTGTTACCTTGTAAACACCAATAAATAAGTTTATAGCTTACTTCATCATCAACCAATTGATAATCATATGATTTAATTTTGCTGTTTTTCGCTTCTAATGTACTTTGTGTTATGTTGCTTACTAGGTTGGCACAGTAACTAGAATCCCCTCCCCCAACCTACATCCCAGCTTAAATTGTAAAATCAATATTACAATTCCAATCTAAACTAAGTCACCTCGAATAAAAGGAAAAAAGGAAAACAGCAGTAAGGAAAAAAAGGCAAAATATGCAAAATAGTTTATCTCACCTAACAAATGCTGTTAATACATCAGTATTTTCACGATCACTAATATATTCACCAATCATTCGTTTTTCTAAACGTGGATTTTCACGAAGAAACAATGCTAATTCATCATAATTTAATGGTTTTTGTAAAATATCATTCTCTTGTAAAAATGTTATACCACGTTTCGGTTTTGTATTAAAATGATCTGACCCCAATATTAATAACTAAAATAGGATAAAATAGTTTTCAAAAATAACTTACAATTAGAATGTGTTGTATTAAGAATAAAAAAATCAAAATTTGAATACCTAAATCTTTGATTTATAAATATCCCCCAAAATGCCCTGGTACGGCCGAGAGTGGAGAGAGTCAGATCACCCTCTCGAAATACTGTCCCATGCCCAAGTGTATACAGCAACTGTCAGGGAAGTCCTTCTCAAGGCGGGGATGTTTACGAAATTGAGAGGACGAAAAGTGAATATCTGGTGCTTTAACCGAGTTGGTGGATACGAAGGATTCACTTAGGGGAGTTGGAAAACTCTCATTCCAAACCATACATACACTAGAGGATCCTGAAGGAACAAATGGTGTATGAACCTATTGTTGGTCAATGGGTTCCATGGGACGGTATCTCCTAAAGTTGCTTCACTGCCTTGTGGACCAGACATTTAGGTCGAAGGCTTCCGGGTGTCGACCCGTAAGGAAATCATCAGCTTCAGTCTGGGTACCCGAGTAGTATCCCAGCCCTCAAACAAATCAAATGACTTGTGTGGTGCATATGTATTTGATGACCCTTTGTATCAATATTTATGCGTTCAGATAAATAAATAAATAAATTTATGGATCGAACTTATAAGAAAGCATATCTAAACCATTTAAACAAACGGTATAAAGACAACCATATTACAAAATGTAGATTGACTAGTTAACTTTAAACAAACAAACAAACAAGAAAGTAAGGAGTATGAAACTACACAAAACATTATGATAAAAACTAATAGCATAAAGTTTGGAATATTTTATCAGTATTGAAAATTCGTCAGTCAGTAACAACGCAGAACTTTGTACGTACGTACATCAGTTCGAGTTGCCATACCACATTAGCACAGAGATCCACTTGTCGATTCAAATCCCATAGTTGTAGAGGTAGTAAAAGTATAATTAGTAATCGGAAAGATTAGGGTTTGAAGATGTTATTCAAGGAGCATAATCCAGTGAAATAAATTTCGATAAAGAAAAAAGAAAGGGACATGAAGAGTTCAGAAGATTAGAATTTGAGAGAATACAAAGAGTGGATTCATCTGCGCACACCATTGCAAACGATTTTGAGCCATGTCATTCAAGGTCTCTAACTATCGGTTGCTTCCATCTCGTGGATCCCAACCAGGTAGTCTACACCTATCAACATGGCTCAGTCCACTTGTCAGTGACTTCATGGATTTGTGCCATGTCTTGGTCTAGTCGCCCCTAGTTTTCATCCAACCTACTCCTACACCATAAAACATCGCACGTCGAGGCAGTCGGTGGTTGGGCATAGGTAACACGTGTCCCAGCCATCTCAACTGATGAAGTTTCATTACTTCATCAATTGATTTGCCATCCTAACCTAGCACCCGTTTCCTAACAACTGCATCCCGTACTCAGTGGTCTCAGGATATACGAGCAGTGCTTCGAAGACACCTATGATCGAATACTAGTGACCTACGAATATTCTCTACTCTTACGGGCCATGTTTCACTGCCATAAAGTAGGATGGAGTGAACTGCTGCGCAGTAAAGCGTCATTTGGTTGGTAGACGAATATCTCGCCTACGCCATAAGTGACGCAAGTTGGCGAAATCTAGTCGAGCCTTCTGTATCCGTGCTGAGATTTCGTCACACACCAGACCACAAGGGTTGATGAGACTCTCAAGATAAATGAAGCGATGGACAAGCTCAACTACTTCACTCCCTATCATTAGCTTGGGTGTCGATGCAACCCAGTCCTGAAGAATAAATTCACAATATCATCTACTTTCCATGAATACTAAGAAATAGAATTGGGTTTCCATATTTAACTAATGAAGAAGATGATAGCCTCATTCATTATATTTAAGATGTACAATTGTCATACATGTGGCATCATATTATAATCAACTAAGATATGAGTGATCAACGGTCCAAATCTGCAAAGAAAAACTTGTTTAAGTCAACCAACTCAAATGTTTGCTAATCTGACAGACGTAGCAATAAAACCTACCTTCTTTTTGGACTTGGAAATGTTTAATTCCTCTCGAGATGGCAGTTTTGTTAAATCAACAAAATGACGATTAGGTCGTACTCTATACTTACTATCAATAGCGCTACTTTTATCGATTAATGGTAAATAATCTGTTGAATTTGGGGATTTGTTCAAAGAATTTTGATCTATTATTGTTGCTTGTGATGCACCGCACTGGACCTCAATAGTGTTCAATACAGCTAACAGGGCATCCAATGCTAGTAAATGAGTACCCATTAAACGTACAACAGGAAAAGCATTTTTAGCTAACATTTTTGTAATATCTTCAAACAGATTAGAACAATACGGATCACAATCATAGTTTACATAAAGCTCTGCAGCTAAACCAGGAACGAGAAATAAACGAACAACTGAATCCAATGCAATTTCACGTCGTTCATAACCCGTTGATTCATTATCTGAAGAAATGATAGCAGTTAATCTTTGCAGATAAACCTATAAAGTGTCCAGATAAAAAAGCATACAAATAAAATAGACGAAGAGACAGAAAATTCACGGTTCAATAAGTCTTAACAACAGAACCAACAAAAGCCAATTACTAAAACAATAAAAGTCAATGTGTAATGATTATTACCTATGATTCGACCCACATTGTTAATTATTAAAGAATAATGCGACAAGCATAAGTATTTTACTTTCTTCAAATGGGCACTGCATGAATATCTCCCCACCGATCACACTGTAGGTAGTCGCGTACGGTTTTCAATCTATATGACTGGTTTGCCTCCACTCCATATAATCATACACTTTGAAATGCGTGATTATAAAAACTTTAAAGTACAGTTTAAATGGCATTAGAAGAAACCTACAGGTAAACGTCTTCCAACTTTTTGTGTATTACACAAACTGGTCAACACTAACATCTAGTATTCTATACAATGGTACATTACTGAATAGCACATTCTGTCCTAAAACGTTGGGTTAGGGGTTCGAAAATCTATCCATGCACTTCGATTTGGGGAGCCTGACAGTATCAATAGGAAGGTACCATAATAAAATGACGATATATGTGACAGTGATTTGTAGTATTCGAATTTAACAGCCGTTTATTGAGTAAAACTGAAATTCATTCAACATTCAGGTGTTGAAAATGAGGTGGTAAAATATGCAATTCGAAATAAAAACGCATAACCAGCTTCATCTAAACTTGGACTAAACCTTCAGTGATTATTCGTCTAGCTCCAACACAATCACGGAGACAAAAGAAAGCAAACTTGTGGTTTGCAAATTCATTCTACTAGTTGAATTTATCGGGAATAGTGTATTTCCCAACACATTAGACAGTAAATTTAAACGAAAACGTAATGCATGTATAGGCCACATGTTCAATATAACCGAAATTCATAATAGAAGGGTTTATCTTCACTAAGTTTCCTTTGGTCATCAATAAAGACACCCTTCGATTTTTCATCACAGAATAAGAGTTTAGCTTTATAATTAACAAATGCTTAGCATTCCTTCGATGGATTAAAATTGTAAATATGGCTAATAAGAATTCAATGAAATGCAACTTAGTGATTTTAGTCTCTTTAAACTACATCTACTACTGTTTTAATATTTTCAAGTTTAATAAATCAAAATTCCTGTAGGTAAAGTGTTATGAATGATACAACAAAACAATCAACAAATTGATAAAAATGATCAAATTACTTGTTCAATGAATAAAAAGAAAAGAACAAACCTATTCATAAAAAATGAAACTAATTTTCAACTTATTTATTTATTTTTATTTTAACACATAGATATTGGTACAAGGCGGCACCAAACACATATGGACCACACAGATCTCATTCGATATGTGTGAGGGCTGTGATACTGCCCGGGTGCCATTTGTTCCCTCAGGATACTGGAGCCCATGTGCATTATTGATTTGGTTTGGGATCCGGTTAAAGCGCCGGACATTCGCTCTTCGTCCTCTCATTTTCGTAAACAACACCCCCGCCAGGAGAAGGCAGTGAGTAGGACTTCCCTGGCAGAGGCTATATACGCGTGGCCATGTGAGAGCATTTTGAGAGGGAGGGCGGACTCTCCCCACTCTCGGCCGTACCAGGGCATTCGGGGGCATATGCTATTTAACGACAAGTCGTACTACTCAGATTAAAATCATGATTTAAATTTGATGAATAAATAGGATAGAATTAATTATCTAAACTATTACTGATAGTTCGATGCGTATCTTTGTACATCTGAGGAATTGTTTATATCATTTATCCAAGATTAGACATAATGAGCTCGTTTGGCTTTTGCCAACTTACGTCACCTACGGCAAACGCGAGATATCCCTTTATCAATTAAAGAGCGAATATACTGCAGTATACAGCAGTTCGTTCTGTTCTAACTTACATCTGCGAAACGTGGCCATTTAGAGTAGAAGATACTTGTAAGCTACTAGTAATTGACCACAGATGTCTTAGAAATATTGCTCACATCTGCTAGGATCACTGGGTAAGTAATAGTGAGGTTAGACGCAAGGTATTAGGGAATGATGGTAAATCAGTGGATGAGATAGTTGGGCCATATGTTGCGTATGTCTGAACACCGATTACCACGACGCGCAATACTGACTAGTGTTGGAAACGGCTGGAAGAAAGTTAGGGGTGGCTTAACCAAGACATGGCACCAGTCTGTAAAGTCACTAACTTCTGGTCTGAGTCATGTTGGTAGATGCAGACTATATGATTGGGGTCCACACGACTAACATAACCAATGATTGGAGACTGTGTGTGACATGTCTCAGAGTCGATCACAATGGCGTAGGTGTATACACTCTTTTTCTTTCCTTAAACCGTAAGATTAAAATTGCTTCATACCTTTCTTTCTACGAGCTAATTCCTTCTTCCTGTTTTATATCCCTATATGCAATCTTTATTTTATATATTACTACCATTGAAGTAACTAATTTTAGGAATTTGGTGTTTATATTGTTGTGCTAATGAGGTCTCGAAACTATGCATATATGTGCCTGGTCTTACGTTGTAGCTGACTGACTGACTGACAAGACTAGTCAATACGTTTTGTAATAAGTACTTGAATGCGCAAAACAGGAAACGTAAATCCAAGGTGTATCTACGTCTTCAGGAAAAGGATTCCACACCGCTTGTGAGAGCCACGAACAAATTATTTACGCGACCATTTAAATTCATTTTGATACAGTTTACATTGTATAATAAATTATGTGAATAAGATATTTGAAATAAGATTTTTCCCGAATTCAGCAAAATGTTCTGTCCTTTACAGTGACCGAATGGTTACATGTACTCTGTCTAGTTGCAATATGGATTATGTGTGACACAGGCATGTAACAAATCTATTTATACCACCTTTTTTCTGAGTAATTAGGATAGAAACTAGACACTGAACAATTCGCTAGCATGAAAAGAAAGAAAGCAACGTACAAGATAGCTAGAAAGTTATCGATCAATACAACAAGTAATGAAACAGAATCAAATCGAAGTTTTAAATTGCTTACTTCCATTTGTAACTTTAACTGACTCCTCATGGATTCGAACAGGAGAAAGCATACGCGTAAAGTAGCAGCGAATTGCCAAACGTCTTCTGAATATAATAGCTATAAATAAAACAAAATATCATTAATACTACAGCACTTTTAAGATAAGTAAAAGAGTGGAATACAATGATTATAATTATTATCCTTAAATAATAATTAAACTTATCTATTAAGAGTTAAATTCGTTTATTCAAGTTAACAACAGAGTTGTTATTCTATAACACACTATTAACTAGAATAATAAATGTTCAGGGGCAATCAACGTGAAGGTTTTTCTTTTTCTTGTATTATTTTTGCTTGTCGATAAAATGTGTTTGTAAAACTAAACAAACCGGTCTTTTGAAAATTCTGATTTTATACTGTTTAGTTCCTCAGCAGGAAATGCTAATGTCGTAGTAGGACGAATAGTACTTATGAATTAGAGACTTAAACAAAATCTATCAACAACAGTGTAAGGTGTATGGAATGGGCTTCAGCTCTATATAAGAATTCAGAAAGAATCACAATACTCCTCTTTCAAATCTCCACATATCCCTTTCACATCTTCCAATTTCACACTAAACGGAGAACATTCAACATTCCTAATGAGGTAAGCCATTGAGGCTGGCTGTGAAGTAGTGAATGAATCTAATCACTGAAACATAGATCATTGAAGTACATAGCTTAACATTATAACTCAAAGGATTTGCCAAGTACTCAGGGCTTTTTTATTTTCCGAAACTTTTACCGTTTTTCGAAGAGATTGGTGGTTTGATATCCCATCTCAAGTATACACAACATAAAACATTGCGATCTTATGGAGTTAGTTCTTCCAAGATGAAGATTGAACGTACCATGCGGATTTCATTAGTAAATATTTATTAAAATACTATCATATTACGTTAAATAATATTAGCATATTAAACTGAATCATCCTTAAATAAAAACAAAAAAAGTAATTTTTTACACTTTCGTACCAGCATCAAATATTTGGTTAAATCACCTCGAACTAAATGAAGTAATCGTGGACTATTAGCTATCGCATCAGCCCCTGTCTCTAGTGCGATTGTAATAAGTCCTAATGAAATAGAAATCACACTCTCTTTATTATGCTCAGGAGAAAGGGAATGTATGAGATTAGACAGCAATTCACATACAGTTTCAATAGTATAAGGTTGTGGTTGAGGATCTGCAAAAAGAAAACAAGAAAAACCAATTGAAAGTAAACGAACGAGATGAAAACATATTGTAACGTTACAATAAAAAAAACAAATACTGTGATAAAATTCCATAGAGACGTGATCAGATGATGCAACAGACTGCAAACTACTACCAGATACTATCATACGTCAGTCAGTCACACGAAACGTAGAATCTAGCATATTTGCGTACATCAATTCAAACTGCCACACCCTACGAGCATAGCGAGATGGAATTGTGGCGGCGAATCCCAAATTAGTAGAGGTAGTGTTAAGTTAGTTTTACGTTCTGTCCTTATTCAGTTCCCTTCGATTTTGTGTATTGTTTTATACTACTTATTAATATTCAGTAAATAGTTGTATTCCTAGCAATTTCCAAGCCTATGCTGTAACGTAAGTTTGTCGTATAATATTCCGAAGTATTTACATATACTTATAACACTTATTGTATTTATCATCATAATTACTTTAACTCAGTCATCATAGCAGATATTCGCAGTCCTTTGGTCTTTGATTAAACACAACACTTTCCACATTGCTTACCCTTAGTTCAATTTCTGCTTGTTGATAAACCGTTATCAGGTTTAGACACAAACAACGGCAGTCATTTTGCACTATCGGAGCCTTTCTATTTCAGACGAAAAATGCGGTAAACGACACAGACACCCCAAAAGTTGAGGCTTGTAACTAAATTTCGTATGTCATTCAATAAAGAACCGCTTTTTTAGACAAATCGTTGTTTTGTGAACTTCGATTTTCCGCGTATCTCAATTGGGTGATATGGACGCTTCGACAAATTTAACAGGTAGTAACAGTAATAATAGTAATAAAAACGATTAGACATCGAAGACACGATTTGAGAGAATACAGATCAGTGAAGTATAAAATTAAGTCATAAGGAATTAAGAAAATTAGGATGTAAGGAAAGACATTGAATGCGCCTTCATCATTGCGAACGAAAACAGATATCTCAAGAGTAGTTGGCGAGTAAACTGCTCTTTTAAATGTTCTGACCATTATCTCAGAAATAGTTTCATTAACTCCCAAATTTTTGATACCTATCTCTTTGATAAGTCTGAAACGTTGTATACTGTTACTCATCACTGATGCCTTTTCTATTGGTTTTGCCTTAGTTGTCCACTCTCGGCATCTTCGTCGTTTAGTTGAACTTTAAAGGTTTTTATGAGTCTAGTAGGACAAGAATAATTTTTTTATGCTACGAATACACAGCCATCTGAGCAGAGTCACAGCGGGCGAAAGCCAATGTCTGTTCGTTGAGCTGGAACACTGTAAGACTCCTACCACCATTACTACAACCTGAGTAGATGCATTGACATTTTCAACAGTCACAAATTTTACCATACATCTGCAATTAAACTATTCATAATATAAAAATAAACGAAAACAAATATTGGAGCAGAAATTCATTTTATTTCGCTAGATCATCACCTGTATTCTGAATGCTTAGGAACATGTTTTAAATATTGTTTGTGCTCCTCCACTCTCACGTACAACTGTCCGGATATCTCCCACATATACAGACAGTATTACGCTCACTAGATTTGTACAGTTTCGCTGTTCTTCAATTTTGGATTCTATCCTTAAAATTCACTATTTTGATGTCTTTCCCCAATCAAACGATTGAGGAACGTCAGTTGCATCGACAAATCTAATCTTCTGAACTCTTCATGTCCCTTTCTTTTTTCTTTATCGAAATTTATTTCACTGGATTATACTCCTTGCATAACATCTTCAAACCCTAATCTTTCCGATTACTATTATACTTTTACTACCTCTACAATTATGGGATTTGAATCGACACCTGCATGTCTGTGTTAATGTGGCATGGTAATTTGAACTGGTGTACGTACGTACGAAGTTCTACGCTGTTACTGACTAACTGACTAACTGAAACTTAATCTATTGAATACTATTCGATATGTTAACCTACTCAAATAGTTCTAAACTAACTCGCCTCATAGTAGCAAAATCGCCATCTAAATACTGTAATCAGAATTTTAGCAGAATCACACGTTTTATGATTGTATTAGTTTCTAAAGAATGGCATGAATAAATAACCAGCCATAGGTGGAATTAGGGGTCCTATAACTACTATTACTACTACTACTACTACTATCAGTGGATCATATATCTACTATGAAATGTGATACATTCTATATGCATGACGACCAATTTCTGTCAGACTGTTCAGTCACATTCTGAAGAATGTTTATGTAAATTATTTTGCAATCGAATTATACTATTTAAAGGGAAAAACAAACGCACAACTGGTACAATCATAGAACTTTTAATCTACATTGTTTAAACCAACATATTTATACTTCAATGCTAATGGTTAAACCACATGATAATTTTGTTTGTTAAGTTAAATGACATCTCACAGAGAACATAAACATTATTTATTTATTTGGACGCATAGATACTGGTACAAAGAGGCACCATATATATATATGCGCCAAACAAATCTCATCTGATTTGTGTAAGTGCTGTGATACTGCCCGGGTGCCCAAACCGAAGCAGGTACATAAACATAAACCCACTTACTATAAACTACGAATCACTACGTTAACAGTATAATAATCTTAAAGTTTTATTATTAATCACATTAAAAATCTAGTAGTGAACATACATGATTTAACTAAACAAAGAGAATGGTACCAAAGGATTATATTATTGTACTCTAACCATTGATTACGTTATCTTCAAACCTATAAGCGTAACCCTATGTTTATATAAGACACTTATAACATATTTTGTGGATAAAAACAAACTGACGGATCGAAAGGCATTCGAAGACACACACAAAGACACATACCGACTGTTTGCAAATCATCAGAGTGTGTATCAGGTTGAGAAAGCATTGTCGAATTTTCAAGTTGTACAGTCTACAGTCGAAAGAAAAACTAAACTTAAGAAAACAATTGACAGTCAAAAAAATACAAAAAAGTGATAACCAAAATAAAACCATTTTTTAATAGTGTATTATATAATAACAACACTGTTTAAATCTTTTGTCTAATGTGTTCGGAAATACACTATTTCCGATTATTTCAACTAGTATCGAACCAAAGAACAGATTTTCAAAACATGAACTTCGAAGCTTCCATAGATGGTTGATTTTCAGGAATACGCCAAAGGTCACATGAATAACTGAGCGTCTTTCACTGTGATTGTCGATTAAAGTAGTGATAAAACATTTGCTTTCTTTAGTCTCTGTGATTGTGTTGGAGCTGGACGAACAATCACTGTAGGTGTAGTTCAAGTTTAGATGAAGCTAGTTTTGCGTTTTTATTTAGAATTGCGTAGCTTGATACGAATCATAACAGAATAACGTGAAGTGAATAGAACTTGTAGTATGTTACTTGATTCACTGGGAATTTTAGTGAAAATGGCAATGCAGTTTATTATATATTAATCCTTTTTATTCTCTTTTAAGTGAAGCGATCGAAATTCAAACGGATGAACAAACGTACAAAGTTCTCACTCGGTCAATCAAGTTCAAATTTCATCAAAATCTTGTAACACCATTAGTTTTTGGTTGGAAATGGAGTAAAACGTCAAGAGAGAACATTTCTAAGAAATGTGACGTACTGAATTAACATTAGTCTTTTTAAATTGTTACCGTGTTACTCCTCTCAAGTTGATGAATTGAAACGCTGATATAAATTTTTATAATCACGTAATCGGCATACCAGTGAATCAGGAACAACAGTGAGATGGAAAGCAAGTGTTAATTTTATTACAGTACCTTCCTACTATTCAGGTTTTCTTGTAGACAACCATGGAGACAGTAGTCAGACATCGGGTAACAGCTGATAGAATGTTGGACCATAAATCTGTATATCTTCCCTTAAATATCCAAAAGTTATGGATAACTGAATTGCTTCTACAGTTATTTTGTGATAAATTATTTGACAACTATATACCCAGACTTATACGTAACAATCAAGAATAATGACGATAATCATAATGATATCAATCTGACGTGCCTCTTGGGAAACTTAATGATGGATAATAAATATGTTCTTTACTACACGGACGATGTTTACTTTTATGGACCAGACACCCAAATAGAAAAATATTCACAAATGCCCCTTACGACCATACACAGTAAATTGATCATTGATTTAATTGACTGGATTTCTAATACATTACAAGATCTGCCCAGACACTAATGGATTGAGTTATCACGCCTTAAATCCAGGTAATTTTAAATAATAGGTGATGAAGTGTATACAACTGCGTTTCGACTGCATTTACAAAAAGCTTACTGGTTGTTGCACAACTCGATCTGTTTTGAATCCAACTAGAGTTGGTAGACGGCTGAAAAATAACTGAATCATGGAAGCCAAACACAATTCAGCTGTTCTTCTAAGTAATTCACTCAATTTTGGTTCAAAACATATGCGGAAGCAACTCTGTAGGATCTCACGAATAGCTCGATCTGAGACGAGAGCTCCAGCAGGAACGAGTAATAATGTCCGTAATAAATGCAGCACTTTCATTAGCACAACCTACAAAGCAAATGAGATAAGGGAAATTATTTAACGTATCAAAAACCCGAATGATACGATTCAATGTTCAGTGCGACTTGACAATCGAGTACAGATTTATCTACTCAGTTTTGGACGAAACTTTCGCGTGAAGGCTATAGATACTGTCAGGCTCCCCAAATCGAAGTGAATGGATAGATTTTCGAACCGCCAATCTTACGGTTGAATGCGCAATGCACTATCCATTAATGTAACAGTGTATAGAATGTTAGAATACAGATGGATGAACTCTTATATTGACCACTTTGTATGAGTAATACACATAGTTGGAAGACGTTTATCCATTGTTCACTTCTAATACCATTTAAAACTTTACCTTGAAGTTTTTATAATCACGCATTTCAAGGTGTATGATTATACGGAGCTGATGCAAACCAACTGTATAGATCTAAAACAGTACGCGAATACCTACAGTGTGGTCGGTGGGGAGATATTCATGCAATTCTCATTTGAAGAAAGTGAAATACTTATGCTTGTCGCATTATGCTTTAATAATTAGCGATGTGGGTCGAAGCGTAACCAAGAATTATCACAGTTTGGTGTGCTGCTGTGCTACATAATGGTTTGCAGAAACATGAAACCAATCCCATTGTTAAGTAAGTGTACCTTAAATAACCAGGAAAAGAAAACTACAAGCGGAAACAGTGATAACCTTTATCCAGTTACTGGTTACCTAGATCAATCCTAATGTATTAATTTGTGCCAAAGGCTTATGAAAAGTGCAACAAACATAATTATTTTAACCCCTTAAAATTCCACCGAAAAGGTCAGCAGAAAATAAGTCAAGATTTCGTAAAGTAAAAGCAGTAATTATCGGCATTATTCCTCCTTATCACTTTTAGCATATGCGGTGAAATTAAGCATGTAGAAACCGGCTCAAACGGCAAGTCTTCGTGGGGTTTTCGAAATATATTCAAGTCAATAAACATGATCACTAGCACACCTCGTTTTCACAAACTAGTAGAAAATGGCCATTACACTAACTGGAACTCATGTCCTTATTCATCACGATTGGTATTTTAAGAGAACATACGAGCTTATTGACAAAATATGGAACCAAGAATTTAGGTACATAAGACGGGAAAAGTTAAAATTCGATTCTCATAACAAGGATAAATCAACTGACATCTTTTTTCAACCCGATTCAAACTGTATATGTTCGTATAATTCCTCATAAAACGACATTAGTTTTCGTCAAATATGTCTGCAAGTTGATCAACAAACACTGAACATCCTCCGAGTTTTTTACATCATGCGAGTTTGAAATACAATTAGCTTTTGAGCAAGTAAGTCTTATTATGCGTTTTACTCTTAATCAACAGACAGTAAACCTAGACAAAAGTTTCTGGAAGAAATATTCGCTCAGTAAAAACTCATTCCATGTGTGAGATATAGTTCTAATGTTCTGATTAGATTATGTATGTTTCCTTTTTTCCTTGGATTCATGTCGCTCATAACTCTACCGTGCTAACATCTTTCCCACTAAGCACATAAATAAATATTACCCAATGAACGGAGATGTTGACCAATTGCATCGTAATTTAGTGTGTGAATTTTAAAGATCCTAAGCAAATGAATTTATTAGACTGTTCATTTGATCTTCATTCTTTCAAAGCTCTACCATCGGACTAGTGTTAAATTATAGGGATGATTTATTAAACTACACCTATTTTGGGGCTCAGTAAGAACTTTAAAGTAAAAAACATTAATATAAACAAAAAACAAAGCAATCAAACTTCAAGAAATCTACCTCTGCAGAGCGTGGATCAGTTCCCACAAAGCGGGCTTGAGTACTTGCATCGGCAATCGCTTCTACTGCTAATCCGATAGAATTTAGCGACCCAGTTTTATTTAAAGATGATTCGTCTGATTTAGTAGAGGGTAATTCCAAAAGTCCATAGGATAGAAACTTATCCACAGCTGTTAATGCAAGACCCGTAACCGGACCTGTTGTATCTTCTGAACGGATAACCTCAAGGAATGGTGTAAGATAAACCAATGGTTCCAGTTCATTAACACCTAAATTAAATTATGAAAAATGGATAAAGACCTCACACATATGAAACTTATATTCTTAATACCACAAATCAGAAAAGCAAAATAATTTACCATTTATAATAAGTATCTAGTGAACGGCAGGTTTTCCAGGGTTCTGGTTTTTCTTTTATATCTCCGAAACATTTCACATGGTTAACATAACATGGACGTTTACTTTTCTTCCTACAAACCTTAATTTTGAGAATTTTCTACGAGAACCCCGATCAATTGACAACATTTAAAATTAATTTTTTAACACATAACTTTCACGGCTTTATGATTGCAATAAACGTATCTTTGTGACCTGCTAAGCATAGCTGTCGTAAACACAGTATTTCTGAGTAAGGGTTCTACTGAGTTGGTAGAAATGATTTTTATACAACAACCTCATATATACGTTGTAGCTATTCGTCAGCCTTCGCTCCCTAACTTATTATAGCTTGCCTTTGTCAGAAGTAACTTTATTATTGAATCCTTTATCCCTATGTAACATATAGCTCGGAAGGACTCACTGCGCTCGTTATTGATGGTGGTAACAGGCGGGTAGGAATGACAACTGATGATGGTAACAAGGACAACCGATAGTAAGAAAGGTAACTGATTGTTAACAAGATGAACTGGGGCACTATCAGTGGTAGAGTCGCTAAGAAATTTGTCATCACGTCATAGTCAACGAGACCATTTTATCCTTAGACCTTAATTTCACTTGTTGTAATGAACCCTAACTGCGTCATTACGATATACAGGGCCGATTGACTTTGAGGTAGCAGCTGAGAACGGGGAAAGAAGATCTAACTTTCATCCTCAATATTTAATAATTTTATATTCTGAAAAATAATAATTACAGAATTCACGCCAGTTTACAGGCATGATCAATTTGATATAAATAATAACGTTAGACGTGAAGAACAAACATGTGATAAAAGAAAGTTTTAAGTATACTAGTTCAGTAGTTGTTTAAGTAGTACATATATTACAGCGATCCAATGCATCAGCCGGGAATTTTTAATATTTCTTAAATGGACAGCCTGTTGATTTATGAACGGTGTAGGGCAATGCCAAAGTGATTACGCGTACTTTATAGCTTGTCCCTCTAAACAATTACATAGGTCGAGCTAAACTTAGTGAGTTAAAATGAATTCAAGTCAGCAATATAAATAGTTCTAAGGTATATCAATCACTATGACATTTCCTAAAAACATTCAGGAAGGATACAATTTTCGTGAAAACTGATTCGTTAAGTCGTCGCGATTGTTAAAACAAGGAGTATCCAGAAACCTATGATTAACGACTGACTACGTACAATATGGTAGAAATATCAGTATAAAATACACTCTGGAATTTAATTTGTACTCAAGAGGTACATAAATACTGAAAACAAACGACTTACTTTTGGATACATTTAGGATAGACCTTAACTGGTTAAAACTCAATAACAGAGGCCTTTTAATATCATCCTAAAAGTTATAAGTGAAGTATTAACACTTACTTGATACATCCTAAAAGAATTCCTGTGACTACACCGCAAAGCAGTTAGCATAAGTGAAACTTCTGATTGTATCATGCACAGGGCATTTGAAGGAGCCATCTTTGAGTGTGCCGTTTAACTTACATATAGAAACAAGACAATGACAGCCACGTATCCTTAGTCGCAAAAGTATGAATTTTCCTCCAACAATGACCTACGAAATTAATATACACAATGTCCAATATATTTGTGACTGACTTATACAAACAAGTGTAATTCAGTTTCAGTTTGGAAAGAACAGGGGGCTTGATGGCCTGTGTTAGTCCCAATAATTGCGGTTTCTCAGTTGATCCAACTTTTTTTTAAAGAGTCGGCGGATGGAGCCTCAACCACGTGCCGAGGTAATGAATTCCACTCGTTGATGATCCGATGGGAAAGTCGATAGTCAGCTGACAAGTACTTTGTTCTGGGCTTGTGAACTCTTTTGGAGTGTCCTCGCAAATTCTCTGTTTCGCAAGACAAGAAAAATGAGAGCATATCACATGCAAATTTATCACTAGGCAATTTGAAAACTGTAACCAAGTCGCCTCTAGTTCTACGATATGACAACGGGAATAGGTTTAGGTTGGCCAGTCGAGCATCATACGGAAGCTTGGCTACTCCGGGAATCAGCTTAGTTGCTGTTCTCTGAATCTTTTCCAGAAGCCTACTGTCTTTTTTTAAGCAAGGACTAGTCGCTTGTATGAAGTACTCAAGTCTAGGACGTACGAACACCATATACAAAGTCAAAAACGTTTTAGCCGCGACATGACTAAAAGCCCTACGTATTGACCGTAAAGTTCTAAAACCTTTGGCGGCTATTGCACGGCAGTGTGCAGCCTTGGCTAACGGTGACTCCTAAGTCACTGTGTGTCTGGACAACAGGTATCTCAGTGTTATTTATCGTGTATGTATCTGTACCTTGATGACCGATATGCATCACAACACACATGGAAGTATTTAACCGCAACTGCCAGGTTTGAGACCGTTCAGATAGCTTCTTCAGGTCACTTTGGAGTTCTAAGCTATCGCTCTCCGTATATTGACATGGTCAGCATATAGCAAGACCGATGATGATTGGAGACGAGGAAGGTCATTCACATACAAGAGGAATAGCACTGGCCCAAAAGCTGTCCTGGGGCACTCCACCAAGTACAGTTTCCCAGCTGGATAACTTTGGGTTCACCCGTACTCTTTGTTGGCGCCTTTCTAGGATGTCTTGTATCCACATCAATAGATTGCCTCCGATTCCGACACTTCTTAGCTTATATAACAGCCGGTTGTGCGTAAATTTGTCAAAAGCTTTGCTGAAACCAATGTAGGCTATGTCTACGGGTAACTTTTGGTCCTTAAGAGCGCACCAGGTTTCACGAGAGACTAATAAGTTGGTGAGACAAGAATAACCTATTCTGAAGCCGCACCGCTTCTCCGAAAGGATCCGGTTCTCATTGAGGTACTTAAACAACTCCTTCCGAATAATCTTTTCTAAGATTTTAACAACCACACCTCAGGTTTATGTTTCGTACCTGTTTTTGAAGAGAGGATTTGCTATGGCGTTCTTCCAGTCTTTTGGTAAACGACCCTGCGTTACGGATAGATTAAAGCATATACTTAAAGGGTTCGCAACGAAGTTAGATAATTCCTTCAGTAGCCTAGGTTGAAATTCATCGGGCCCCGTGGATCTACCTATGTAAAGCTTATTTAGGAGACCAAAGACATCGAGTTCTTTTATGATCATGCTATCCAGTGTATGTGTGGGGGGATTTGTATGCACTGACGGGAAGGGTGCTTCTATGGTGCTTCTATACTTTGCTAAAGTAGTTTGAGAACACTTGAGCCTTACCAAAGTCGTCCTCCACTAGTGACGCGGCAGTACTGCCTCACCATAGTACAGGAATATTTACTCTTCTTTTCGTCCTTTGTTTTATATAAGAATACAGGCGTTTAGGACATTCTACGGATTCCCTAACAATTTTTTCTCCGTACAACTTTCTAGACTTAGGGAGGGTCGAGGAACAGGTAGTCCTAGTTTTTCGATACTGGGATTCTGCCTCATCAGTCCCTAGTAACCTAAATCTATCCCACATTTTTCTTCTTTTACGGAGAAGAATGCGGACCTTACTACTGAACCATGGTGGATAGTTTTTCGGCCTCCTTGATATAGTCCAAGGGATGTGGGGTGCGGTAACTTTTAAGTATAAATTTCGAAATGCGTCCCAAGCCGTTCCAACTGAGAACTGTGGGTCTATTGTCCAATCTACTAACGATGCTGATTGCATGATATCTAGTATGTTTGCTTTCCAGATGTTAGGTCTGGAATGAACTAACGCGTGCTCGTGATTGACGGTTATATGGAAGTCGAAAGTTAGAACTGCGTGACCACTTTTACCTAGGGGTTCGCAACGTCATCCTCATAGTGAGTAAATATATATAGTAAGGATGATTCAGAGTCCGAGTCACATTTAGTCACTTCTTCCACATGTTTCACCAGGGCACATGTGATAACCTTATCAACTAGTTCCTGCTCGAAAGAATTATCTGACGATTCAGTCCGCAAATTTTCCCAGTCTACCATAAGTGCATTAAAATTCCCTAGAATTAGACATCGATCACTTTGTGACCAAGTATTGAGACTGCTTAGCAGGACCTCATTTACCTCACAGCTTGGACTGCGATAGATCAAACCAATTAGCAGCCCTTTTCCCTTGCATTTCAAGCAGCAACTAGCTAATTCACACGTTCCACTCTCATAGGATACATTGTCGATAATGATGAGTGGGATAGAATTCCTCGTGAATAGAGCTACTCCCCCTCTTTTACGCTTTTGTATTCTGTCGGCCCTTACCAACGTAAAACCCTCGAAACCAATTTCCATACTATCTATAGACTGTGTCAGTCAGGTTTCTGTGACTGCGATTATGTCTGGCTTTGTAGAGTCAATCTGTACACTTTTAGCAAGGTGACTCCGGAGATATTTTGAGGCATGAGTTGATTAAGTAGCTATTTTATTAGCACGATGTCATGCTCAAAACAAGTTTTTGGTTCAGAGCTTTCACTCTCCTAGATTCCATGAAAAATAACTGATCTGTCACTGTGATCAGCCTTCGATTTCTCGACTACTTTTATCGGAACAGGATTCCCTTTTATATCTTTATGTTGTTTCTTCCCTACAACCTCCACCCATTCGTCAACGTTGCTTGGAGAATCAAACACAGTCGCGTCAGACATACTGTGGGATTCTGGAGGGTTGTCGACGACTTGCGATTGCGGCTTGTAGGCGTTTCCTGCTGGATACCATTTAGAGGACGGGAAACATAAGATACTTCTTTTCTTGAGTTTTTAGTTAAGACAGACCTCTTTGAAGAATGTTTTTCCTCCTTTGGTCAGTGTGAGTCAGCTGTTTTCGAACTCATTTGGGTTTGCTTCACACCAATTTGTGTGTCGACAGAGCGAGTACTTTCCAATGTGTCCCGACTACGCTTGCAGCATTGAATAATCAGATGGCCTCGGTTAGCAAGCTGTTTGCATCCGAAAGGCACTGTTGATAAAGCCATACGCAACCGTTTTTACTGGACCGTTCGTTGGCCGCAGGAGTTAAATTCGTGTAACAAAGTAATTCTAAACTGAACCTAGTAAAATCCAGATTTTTAGTCCCGTTGATAGTTATATAAGAGTGGAATTTGAGATTTTTTATTAACTATGCTTTTATTTAAAAACAAATTTACTACGACAAACTGTTGTAACGTAACCAGGAGATAGTTTACTTAACCTTATGAGTTTAAATCCGTCAACTAAGGAGCATGTGGTCAAGTCCATCTCAAGACCAAGTTATTCAAACTAACTTTGCACCGTTAATTGACTAGAACATCACTGCGAATATGTTTGGCTCCGGTGTTATAATAACTAAGCCACAACACGTTCTAACACTTAGAGAAGATCAAAAATGGTGAGCACAGGGAAACTTGATTGTTGTGGTCTGACTCGACAATTTAGGCGGGGTCACTATTTAACTTTTTCCTCTTCATATTAAATATATTATTCTATCTCCGGCACAAAAATGTTATTCGGAAGCCTTAGAAAACATGGTGCCGACTGTCACGTAGGACAAATTAGTATAGGCAATAATGGGACTTCAACGTAAGGTCTGAGAGACTTGTAGCGGTAAATAAATCTCCGAAATCAATGACTCTGTAAGTCTTTGACATTTGATGTCAACCGCATTAGTTTTATTGAAGTCACCTAGCTGAAGGCTAGCCATCCGCACCAGATCACGAGTGGATACGCTGTGCCATACATCTACAACGTCTAGTTAGCTTAGACTGATCACCTATCGATACATCGATATTCTACTAAACATATCTTTGAACCTCTTCTCTTCTGGCTTCTGACTTGACTGTGTTGACATACTTTGATTATAAGAATTGTTACTTATCTAGGCGCTGACAAGCTCCGAATACATACAGCATCTTTAGACTTAGTGGATATATCATGGCAAATCTATACATTTGGGACTTTGCCTTTTATTTTAGTACGAAGGATAAGTGCACTTAATACCGACCTAGATATCACTACCACATGTCATCATACACGTTCATAAAAAATGTCACATAAAAGAAACAAAGTATCAAGCTTTAATCCAACAAAGTCGTCAGGCAAGCATGCGCAGATATTCACGAACTCATGTGCATAAACAACTAAAGGCTTGCAGTCATTTATTATAGTGTTTACAAGACAACCAATAGGATTACATTTGTAAATTTGACAGCCAAACACTTGTCTCATGCCTTTATAACAATGCTAAAAAGAGGTCCATAGAATAACAGGAAAAGGATTAATGATTCGTATATTCAGAAACTAGAAAAACAGCGTTTTATCTTAGTCTCAAAGATGGCTGGTAGTCCACGAACTTCATCAATCAGTGTTCGATAAACTTCAGCTTTAGTAACTATGGCTGTTACTAAAATGTTTCCTTATCGTATCATTCGGTAACTAATTAATAATGACTGTTTATCAGCTTACGAAAAATCCAGTGTAAGCTAAAATTTATTCTGAAAGTCATATCTCAACGGTGTTGCCACATACCACTGAAGTCTGAGGGCTATGAGTGCACGAAAGCATTTTACTGATCAAAACACCCCCAGCAACGATTAATGTCTAGTTTTCGGTCCGAATTAACGACGAAACATCATC